TTTTAAATTATTTTAGAAGATTTTTAATAATTATCTCTGTCGGAACTAAAATTAAATAATTTCTTGAGGAAATGTTTTGCAATTTTTATTTTTTTATTTTGTCGGAAAATAATACCTATACAAAGTAGAAACTTATAAATATTTTCCAACATTATACCTTCTTATTGGTAATGTATTATTATTATTAATATTTTTATTAATATTTAAAGTTGTATTTGTATATATGAGAGTAGAACATATTAGAATAAATGAATGTTTATACGTGATATAGTATAGTGAATCCATTTATAGTAAATTAATGCTGATATTTTAGGAATGAATTTATGATTTCAAAATGTAATATAATCTAAGTTTAAGAATTTTTCAAGTTTAAGCGGAGAATCTCAAAGCCCCTGCATTCAATAATATCCAACAAACTACTATAATATTGCATACTATGATTTCAAAGATTCACAAGTCACTTATTGGTAGTCTCAAATTCATAAAACTGTCCTTAAGAATTCACTTCAAAAACTTTTAAATAGAATAAAAACATTTTAATATTTAATTATATTGCTTTGAGTTCTTTTCAATGGCATAAATTAATTTTTTAAATATAATTAATATACTTGACAGAAATCTTTTCAAGTTTGTATAAATTTTAGCTTCTTTTGTCACACTTAAWGCTAATTCGTTTTAATTAACATTTAATTACTTTCGAGGAAAGACCGTTTGCACTTATGCACTACACTATATATGTATATATGTATGTATATGTAGCATATATAATATATGGAAATCAGCACTTGTAAAATCTGCACATGGATTGAAGTTCACCGTTACACGCAACCTGCTCGTCACACCCGTCGAGCTCAACTGAAGCTTCGTCAGCGCTGCGAGGATATGTGAGTGCCTTGTTGGCTCACCTGTCGCAATGCCAGCGACGAAAATTGGGTTTGCGTAGCGAAGCCAATGAAAGTCCACGCAAGCCAGGACCAGCTGCAGAAGTAGCTCGCCACCCAACCACCCAACCACTCAGCCAACCACCCACTCGTCCAAGCAGCCAGCAATATGCCCATCTCTGAGGCTCTCTCGCTCGCACACAGCTGTGGAATGCTCGCAAGCTGGCATTGGATTCGCTCACAGCGCATAACGGGACTCTTCCAACCACCTCGTCCCGCACCTGCTCTCCACAAGTGTGCAGAGATGCGCATGCGCTGCCACGCCCATATGCACCGGTTGCGAGAGCTATGTGAATATTTGAATTTGCGTTTTGGTTTTTTTCTGTACGCCAGAGGGCGCCACAGCCGCTGGGCATCTGTTGCGCCGCAACGCTCATTGGGCGATGAGCACAGCGGCCACGCCCCCAACAAAAGAGCCAAAGGATTTGTCGCACAGCATGAACGGAATTTCATTGAATTGCAAATGAAGAATTTCAATGCAATGCATTGGAGTTTCGAACGTCTGGCAAGGGGAAGGGGGAGAAGAGTTGGAGAGAGGAAAGCAACGAGGAGAATAGTATTGAATGTGGAGAAGCAGAAGCTTCTGTCCTAGCCGGAAACGCGATTTTGTTGTTGCTCACATTTTCCTTACTCTGACCGTCAGGCTTGTGCAGACATTTTAAGAGGCAAAGGATTATTTTGGTGGGTCTCCTTCTATATTTTTTGTGATTTCGTTGTACTTTTTTTGTTGTCATCTTTTTAATGCCGCTTCCTGCGCATGTGGGCAATGCAATTCCAAAATGGCGTCAGTCCCGCTGTCCTTTAAAGCTGCTTTAAATTCGACAGGCCGAAAAGAAAGAAGAGGAAAAATACCAAAACTTCATTAAACGCAGTTATCTGCTATACGAAAACAAGGACGTCTAATGAACAGGAATGTAATTACGAACATTTTGTGTCAGCTCGTAACCAAATTAAGAGGTCGCGTTCCCTGGAAAGAAAAATTTGAAAACCTGAGCTAGCTGGATGAGGATGACTAACAGATATCCTATATGTGTCAAATAGTATTTCAACCTGTTTATAAACAATGCAAGAATGTCTATTTAGAGCCTGACTCTACTAATTTGAATCGAGTATTGGAATAATTCTACTATATATGTCGATAGTTAAGTTAGTCTATGTGATCTATAGCTCACTTTATCCTTTATCTTATCCCCTCTCGTACCCTTATGATAGCTTCGACTTTTGGATATCTCTTTCAACGAAAGTATCAGTTTTAAGCATGTTAAAATATACTATTTACATACCTCATAACTATCGTACTAACACATATCGTAAAGCACATTGAAAAATTAACAACATTTCCTGCATATTGGTTGGAAAATAAACTTACGATTCGTAAGTAACTGATATTATTTTTTCAGATTTGAGTTCAAGTTTTTATATAGTACTATTGGCCCGCCTCTATTATTAATATTAGATATGTATGCCTGCACTTTTCCTTCTCTCTGATAAAACAAATTCAAGGAGTTATTATTCTGCTTTGTTTGTATATTTAAATTTGTCTTGCTCCTTGCCTTCGCTTAGATAGATTTATTACAGCTAAACAATTTCTTAACCTTAATTTGTATGATGTATCATTGTAATCAATCTCGGGTCTAACACACCCATTTTGAATGATTTTCTCTAAACAGGGTATATGGGTAAAAAATCTGAAGAAAGTTAACTAATAAGTTTTCAGCTCTTTTAACATTTTTTCACCTCTCAGCATTATTATTACGATTTTTTATTTTCCTTTTAGCCAGGTCAACAACGAGCTACACTTTGTGGTTTCCTTTGGCAACGGCAAATTGTGAGCTACTCAATGAAGGAACCCGGTCGCGTTGTCTCATTAAAATATCTGCGGCCTTTGTAAGACGCTCTAGACGAGGAGCAGACTCTGGTCTTGCCTTGACTTGTGGCTGCTCAAACAGCGGGATGCTGCACTCTAATTAGCCTTGGTAGTACAATTTTTCACTCATTTGCATGCCGTCAGCGACGTTGATTTTGTGAGGCTAATTGCACAGGTTGGCGTCGCACTCTGCTCGCATGGCTCAAGGTGTCAAATTACACCGCACAGCTATCAAAACCACAACTAAAGCTCTGTTCCCAGCCCTTGTGCCACCCTTAGCCAAGGGGAGGTTTGCGGTTTGTACCTCTCTCTCTCTCTCTGTCTCTCTCTCTCTCTCTCTCTCTCTCTCACACACTTTCCTGCTAGATATCTATTTACACAAAGCGAGGGTGGGTAATGGGCTCTTAATTAGGCTCATATAGGATATTGTGGCAAACACATTTACGATATGTTTATTTGCGGCAGATCGTTCAGATTCGCGGATTAGCTAAGCATGGATGGGCAAGTGTGGGGGGCTTTTCTGGTTCATTGGATTGCGAATCTGATCGAGAATGATTCGTTTTTTATCATATACCCTGATTTTATTACCAATAATACATCAGTATTAAATCTATCTATTTGACATCTATTATTGGTTGTTAACAAATTCGTTTAGCAAGAGGATTATTTACTTTAGATGTTTGAGAAGTTTTCATAAAAAAATACCAAGAATGAAAGTCTGTACTTTTACCTTAACTAATATTTACAAGTTCTTAAGTAACTTGGCAAACTATTAATAAAAAACTTTAAATCTCTTCTCTTCATATTCAAGAAGAAATCCGTATAATCTCTTCTCTTTAAGATTTCAACTCACTGCGAGCTGCGCGAGTTGTCGCTGCTGGCTCCTCCGGACATGAGAGACTTCCTGTGGGGCAGGTGGAGAACAAAACGATATTGCCAGACGTAGCTGAATCGCTGGCATTTTGCCGCGTTTGGGCAACGCTTGATGACCTTTAATGGAGGCGCAAACTTAATTGTTGCAGCCGAGTTTTTGTTTTGTTTTGTCCTCGTCCAGGGGCTAGTTTTAATTAGAGTCGCATGGAAGTATGCCCCGAGGCTAATGCAATTCTTATGCAAATGCGTTTAATTACAAAACTGTGAAACTGAATTACGCAACATTGCGTTATTTTAGTGAATTACTTGCGAGCGGAGTTCGTGTGTTTAATTGGCGAACTCAACGCCTTTTTAATTGCGAATCCTTCTTGAGGCCAAGGCGCCGACAAACCAACAAACTTCAAATTGCCAACTGACGCCAGTCAGTCAGACAGCCAGAGGCCCTCAGCACTCAGTTTTAGCCAGGCTAACGAATTTCCATTTGAATTCTTATTTTTATGCTGCTCAAAATTGAATTTCAAGTCGACTTTGTAGCCAGCAAAATCGATTTTGATTGATTCAATTTGTGCGCCGTGTGATAGCATGTCACAGATTCGATACGTAGTATGTATGTATGTGCATGAGTACTTTGCACTTTGTGTGCATCAGACACAGAGTGTATACAGTGGAAACAGTTCCATAGAAGTACCTATAAAATGGAAATCAAGTAGGATTTATATAATTCAGTAGAAGAAATAAGTTTGGTTAATGCAGGTGCTGTGCAAAGATCTCTAAGATATAAGATCTGCTTAACTTCCTTTGTGACCTGTCCTTTAACAAGACAGTTGAAGATGCTAACTGGCTTGGTAGCTGTGTTAGTGCTCAACTCAAAGATGACAAACAACAGAGACTTATATTTGGGAATTCATGGTGTTTCATAAAGAACCAATACTTTTTCAATATTTGAGAAAAAATTAGATTAAACCGTAGGAGTAGAGCAACTCAAATTTCTCCTAATTCTTGCTATAACTATAAGAGGTATAGTTGGGAGATTATGATGTTTCATAATAAACCAATACTTTTTCAATCAAAGA